GAGCTGGAAGCAGTGGTGCTGGTTTTATAAAATCTGAGATGTGCTTTGCGCTCCCTCAGGATGAACTGTATACAAATGCCAATTAGTAATTAATCAAATCAAATAAAACGTCAGAACAGCTACTTTTCTCGTCAGGCTAAAAAGGAGACATTCGCTTCATTTTCTTCAGAGAAGCAAAGAGCTGCTTTCTGTTGATTCACAGGATATCGTTTTGGAAAAACAGAGCTGACTACACAATAATTCCTTCTCCTCCCTCCAAGTCTTGAGTGATAAGGAGACATGCGCATTGCTGTTTGACACTGTGATATTTAAAGGACAAAGTAGAGGTCAAGTTTGCTGAACTGTTGCCAAATTCCAATGAGGTTTAGCACGAAGAGCCCCATGCACTGACCAATGGACTGTGACTTACAAGGGTCGGATTATAAAGAGTCACTAGAAAACTCAGCTTCTGGCCAATATTAATGGGCCAAATCAAGGTCTCCAGGGCAAAACCTGCTGGAGTTCCATAGTGACGTGGAAAAGTCAGGGAGTTTTCACACACAAGTTTCTGAGTTTCCATTGTGAGGAGTGGGGTTTTCACGTCCCGAGTGAACATGGCCTTCCGACCTCACCGAGGGAAACTGCACACATCTTAGCCCTTCTGTGGGGTACTCACTGCACAGGTGGCGCTCATCCCTACTATCCACAAACCCACTTCCCCAAAGCAGCATAGTATCCTTGGAAACCATGCTCCCATTGACCCAGCCCTGCCCTCACCCTAGAAAAGGCATTAGAGAGGGTTTTCCACAGTAAGTTCTCTCAGGACCAGCACGAACCTGTCCACAAGATGTTTGGCAGGAATGTCCAGAGGCTGGTTGCAATAGAGAAGCTGCCTCTTCTTCCCTCCCCACCCTCCAGGTTTTGGGATAGCTACTTCTGAGGCTCCTTTCCTCTCCTTATGCACTTACCTGCCAATGTCGGTTGGCAATTGTGCACATTTCAGACTTGTTCCTTAAAAGTGAAGGGGTTAAATTCAACTCTCTCTTCCCACAGGAATTACATCAACAGAGCTGGCCTCAAATCCAATATTTGGATCAGAAACCAGCTTTAAAACACATACAGAGTGGAGATCCAGGGGTATTAGATTCATCCTACGCAAGCTTTGCAGCAATGGCAAAATTTAGAGCTGGGTTCAGCTTCTGTATTTCCCTCTACAAAGTGTGGGATGGGCAGATGCAGAATTTTGGTCTGTGCCCATTTTCATTCATAAAATGTGCAAGATGCTTCCCAGAAGAGGGAGAGCTCCTGCCCCAAAGGGTGTACACTCTATGCGGTAGATGTGACATAGCAAGTGAGGTCAAATGAACAGCAATGGAGAGATGGGGTAAAGGAAGGTGAGGGTTACAGCCGTAAGATCACTGGATTGCTATCTTCAGGCACAGGCACTTTTGCGGGGAGGGAGGAACTGTTTTTTTAATATAACATTTAGATTGTAAACTCTTTGGAGGCAGAGACTGTCTTCTTGTTCTGTTTGTGGAGCACATACCACAATGGGGACCCGGCCCATGGTTGGGTTTTCCAGGCACTATTGCAACACAAATAATAAACAACAACAAGCAAGATAATATAACAAGAACCCTTTGGTGCAAAATAGCACGTGGATGACCCTGAGGCATGCTGCAAGCACCATTGATTTGACTGGGATTTTGAGAGGAAGCTGTGGGTACATATTTGGGGGTGGTTAAAGGGGCTGTTGTGCTGATCTACTTCATTCACTATTTATATAATTTTTTTTTGCAGTCATTTGCAATTGCCTAGAGCTGTTTGTCTGGGTGTTTATTATTTAAACTCTAAAGAGAGAATAAATAACAGCAACTAATCATAAAGGAATTAGGGACCTCATTCCTCACATTTAAGATTTTACATTGCTCTTACTGAAAAAAAGATCCACTTATTAAAATTACTCAAGACCAATATTCTGCCTTCTACCAGCTAGTGGCCATCGAAAGAGAGGAGGGTTGGTCCATTGGTTAAGACACAAGTTTGGGACTTGGAAGACATGGTTGAAGGCCTGTGCTCTGCCACAGACTTCCTATGTGACCTTGGGAAAGTCACTTAGTCATTCTGTGCCTCAGTTCCTTATGTGTTAAATGGAGATTAATAATACACCCCGACCTTACAGAGGAACAAATACTAAGGACTGTGAGGCACTCAGATACTATGGAAATAGGGGGGGGGGCATAAAAGTACCTAAGTTAGATGGATTGATCAATCAATCTTGGGAAATGTATCAGGTACAGTTTACAATTAGATCTGCTTGACTCTAAAATGGGTGGAAAAAGTTAAAATAAAAAATACCTGCTCATTGATTTCAATGGAAATCAGGTGCTTATCTGCCGTTTGTTCTTTGGAAAATCTCCCCCACAATCTAGTCCTGTGAATTTAGAAGCCCAACTTTAGTTACTCCCTACCCTATTTTTGTGTGTCACAAAGTAACCTCTTTTAGAATCTCTTGTGATATTTAGGGCTGGATTCTCCCACCTGATAACAGCACTTGGCATGGTTGATAGACCTTCTCTCCTTCTGCTTACACAGACCAATGTGGCCTGGAGATTCCCAAATGAGAATTTCCTTTGTGTAGGAGGAACCTTCCTCATGCAGAGCTGGTATAGCAGCATCCCTCTTGCACTAATTCACACTGGGGCTGGGTTTCAATCGCCTCCCTGTGCCTACTCCTTTCTGCTGTGGAAAATCATGACTAGAATGGGGAAGATTACAACTGGCCAGTTTGGGGCCTTACAATGTTCCTTTCATCATTGAGATTCTCTAAGTGCTTGTTTACATGGGGAGCTATTCTAGAATAGCTATTCCTCATTAATTAGTCCTGATTAACTTGGTGTGGAATAAGGCACTCTTACTCCGGAATCAGACTACTCACACAGCGCATTAGGAATAGCTATTCTGCTTTAAATTTACACTTTACCTTAATACAAATTAACTTCACAATGTAGACATGCCCTAACTTTCCCATATCATCTTGGCATGGTATGTACCAAAGCTGCTTATCCAGTAATAGCTTGAATTTGCAGTATAGTGCACTTTACAGTTTGGAAGTGTTGGGCAAACATTAGCTAATGATTCCTAGTCCCTGATTGTCCGTAGCACTGAATTTGGAGGTAATAGGTTGGCAGTACCAGAGATCAACCTGGGTAGACTTTGTTCAGGCAGGTCCATGAATCCAATCAATTCCTGGTCTTCATTCACCAGTGAAGGCTATCTCCTTGTGAAGACAGTTAGTACATTTTCTTGGGCAGGTTTGCAGTTTTGAAGTGTGTAAGAAAGAACTAAAAAAAAAAATTAACTCAGTGAAGCTCGTACGTGAGGCTGCATTTGGTTTTAACTCATGGTCCTACTTTGTCAACTCACCTGGTAAAACTGGATAGACACAAGAATGGCAAACAGCTTGTGTAAGGTCTCTGCTGGAACTTGAACCCTTACATTTTCTTAGTTCTCAGGCCTCTGCTCTTATCACTGGACAGCCCATCCCCTCTGGTCCTATCCTAATCCCCGCATTTCTTCACAGCACAAACTTCCACAGAGCTGGGTACAATTCATTGCCACTGGCATCTCTGTTCAAGACACACTAAAATTGGAATAGAAAGACTGTTACAGATGAGGTATATTGAAAGGCCTATGTGAGGAAGGTTTGCATAAAACCTGCTCCCATTATCTCCTCTTTTAAGACAGCTAAATTCTCCCACAATCACTTAAATACAAAAAGACTTGCAAACTTCCTTTACATACTAAGAAAAGGAAATCCACATGTTTATACTCAAATCCACATTCAAATACACCAGTGGCTCTCAAACTTTTTTTTCACATAGCAAGCCTCTGAGTGCGACCCCTCTTATAAATTAAAAACACTTTTTTATATATTTAAAATCATTATAAAGGCTGGAGGCAAAGTGGGGTTTGGGGTGGAGGTTGACAGCTCGCGACCCCCTGAGGGGTCCCGACACCCAGTTTGAGAACCCCTGAAATACACCATTGGTCAAATCTTACCACTCAACTAATGCTGGCTGTTCTTGGGGAAGCACAGCATGTGGCCAAATACATTTGTGCCACCTGCCGGCCAGGAGAGCTGTATGAGAAAGAAGGAATGCACATGTCCATCAAAAAAGCCAGTATACAATGCTTCAAGTACCACACAGTGGCATGTTTGTGCTGCCAGTCAAGGCGTGTCAGCGTTTCCATTACACAGCCCTATTTTCAACAAGTTATAACAGAGCTGTAAAAATTCCCTCCACACCATAGTTAGGCATAGAGTGCATCCATTTTTGGACAATTTGAAGCAAATGCATCAGACAGCTTTTGAGTTATAAGTGAGGCAAAATATAGGCAGACAGACCAATGGTACTATGTCAATTCATGCAAGCTGAGGATGTGGGCCTTACAAAAAAAATCTTTAACATGCGCTTCTTCCCCTGCTACTCAAGTTTTGCAGGTTAAGGGTAATTTCCACTGAATTGTCTTCCAGTGTGATATGCACATCTGAACGGTTTTGTTTGTGTCTGAACAAGGGCTTAAACTTTCAAACACTGACTAGTGACCAGTGTATACCAGAGAGAGTAGCCCCACTGATTTCATGGCAGTAAGCACTACGGCTGGTAGTGGTTTGCAAGATTAGGTCCTAAGACTGAAATTCCTAATGATAAGGTCTGAGTTGTCTTCAATTTGTACATCAGATCAAGTACATTGATAACAATTTATAAATAACAATGCTGAGTACTTGCTTGTGCAAACAGGATGCTGAATTATTTTCAGTGGACCTCTGTGCATTGATTCCTTTAAAAAAAGAGAAAGTGCTATAGTATTATAATGCAATGATCCTAAATATTCCAGCTTACAGTAATGCTATTGCAAAGCTGGGGCTATTAATATGGAATACTGCAGGGTTTTTTTTTTTTAAGTTAAGGAAAAAACACAATGCACCATTCAACCTTAGTTGTGAATGACAGGACTTTATTTTGTATAGGATTTAAACTTATTGTTTTTAAATTACATTTTGGTGGACAATAGATTTTTTTTTTTTGTTTGAGTGTACAAATGCCATTCAACCTGGTTTCCCCTATCAGTACAAATAGTGTGCCCTCCCTTTAAAAACTAATTTTACTGTAATAAATACTGATAGGAGTCAGACTTCAATGGCTTTTAGCAACTAGAACCTGAAGATTTATTCACCAATGGTTGAATTTTATCACTCCGTTTAACGTTTTTATGGCACTGATCATCAAACTATACAACAAAACCAAAGCAATTCATCACAAAGATCAGGGACAAAGAACTTAAAACAAATTGAAATACTCCAAATGTACCATTCACTTTATACATGTTCAGTTATCTTGAGCTACTCCTCGTCCTCATGCATTTTAGATGTTCTGATGCAGCCATGCACATGGAAGAGAAACAGTAACAAACATGCACCACTATCATCACGATCACTTGAAATTTATAACTAAAGTTTATTTCCCCCCCCAGAATGTTGCACCATAACAATGGTTTATTTTCTGTTTAGTATGACAGCACTGCCACTGGTGATTTTTTACATTTTAAAATGGCTTTAGACTCTGGAAACAATTGGAGCTTTTTAGCCTGGGTATCAAATATAATCTTACCTATGTCTAGAATATCTAGTAAAATGCAGTGTATGGATCGAAGCTGTTTCCCTTTGTACATAAAAATAAGTTCCACTTCACAGCAATAAAGCACACCAGGCAGTGCATCTCTGGATATTTACGACACTTATCAGGTGGTTAAAGTAACTGAGTCTTTGGCCTTGTACCTCAAGGCAATTCAAGATGTAGAATAACCACCCAGAAACAACCTGCCTGAATCTCACTGTTGCAGTATGGCCTTTTAGATAATAAATTATGCTGTATAAAAGAAAGCTCCAGAGGGTGAGATTCCAGATGAAGTGCCATCCATTGGCATTACATCCAGATAAGGAAAACCTGGGTATCCAAACAGGCTATGATGAGAAGGAACCAAACAGGATATGGCGAGGCAGAGTAGAACAGCACAAGCTGTATTTTCAAACATCACTGGAGTTAAAAACAAAAACATCCCAATAAACAAAACCTCCCCCCACCCTCCCACACGGGTTTTTTATATTTCAGAATCTCAGAGAGGGTAGTGAATAAGTTAAAGAATATTTCATACCAAACAAAGATTCCTTTCATTTAAAGCTAAGCTAATGTACAGATATGTTTTCTTATTTTTATCAAGTACACACCCGCCCCCTCCCGCAAGATTTACAAGTGCATATACGGCACTTACTGCAAAGCTGTAGTGGGCTAAAGGTTTATAACAGTGATTTTTGTTTAAAAAAAAAAAAATCCATCGGACCAAAATAAAACCATTTAAATCAACTCCTTCCTGAGCAACTTAGAATTTGGAATGTGCTGGAAAGTTATAATAAATAAGTCAAAGATTAACCAGCTTAAAATGTACTTTTTAAACATTAAAGTAAAATATAAAACATTTCATGACAGACAAAGGGACTGTTGGGTCAGGAATTGTAGACGTTTATGTGCCAAACACATTCATGAAGTTACCATTCAGGGAGAAGAGGCCAGGTCAATTGTTAGGAAAAATACAACATTAAAACCCAGAGAATAAATCACGTACCAGTTTTTGTGTTTAGGTTATAAAGTAATCAGGGCTGAAGATATCATTAAATTAAGATAAAAATAGACTGAAATGTCTACAGTAAGCGGAAGTGAATTTGCAGGAAGGGTGAATGAGTTAAGTGACTGATTATTCTGCTATGACACTTGTGAAAGGACTCGAACAGAATTTGTTTTAAAAAGATGAGAACATTAATTGTCTTTCCAAAATATAACAATTCCACAGTGTGTAAACTAATCATTACTCTTTCAATGTAATTTCATAGAAACCACTTAAAATATACAATGCAGCAGATTCATATTTTAGTGACTATGTTAATTGTTATCTATGCCACTTGCAGCTTTCTTTAATGCCTTCCTTCACAGTAGTGCATTGGTACCACACAACTGGGATGTAAGGAGTGAGAATAAAATTCCCCCCTGTAATATTTTCTGCAAATTATCATGTCTTAGCACAGTTATGCTTCTTTACTTCTGTTCTCTGCGGACGAGTATAATAAAGACCATTTAGATGATCAAGATGGTCCACCATATATTTTGGCTCCCTGCAGGCTCATGGAAGGGGAAGCCTCTGGAAAGCACTTCATAGCTTGGGCCTGTACACGTACCTCAATCACAAAATAACTTTTGCTTTTTACTTCCAAATGAAGGTCCATTTTGCAGACTATACATAGACAGTGAAACTCCCCTGAAGCAATTACCAAAGAGACCAGCCAAAATTGCCTAGAACAGTAATTTTCAACCTTTGGTCTGCAGACCCCTGGAAGTTTGCAGACTATGTCTAAGATTTCCAAAGGGGTTTGCAACTCCATTTGAAAATTTTTAGGGGTCCTCAAATGGAAAAAGGTTGAAAACCACTGGCCTAGAAGAAATCTAGCAAGTATTAAATTGTGAATATAGGCACAGCCCCGTGCAAGGTGTGGTGCACATGTTGTACCACTGCAGAAGTGATGTAGGGAGGCATTGTGATGTAGAGACACCCCTCAGAGCCACAATTCCTCCTGCACTTCTTCCTTGGTCTATGCGCTAGTAGTTTACCCCTGCTCACGCCATACTGACAAGCGAGTGTGCATGCGAAGCCAAGACTCCACCCATCCCTCACTCACTTGGTTCCAGGAAGGGAGCAAACAGGAAGTAGCTCTGCTTACTCCTATGTGCATGGACCCAAGATTGGAGTAGTCTGTTTAGGAGTGCAAACTAGATACTTACTGGCTCGTATGGGCATGTTGTCCAAGTTAAATTCAAGCCCTAAATATCACAAAACCGTACCAGAAATCCTGGGGATACCTTAAATGGAACTGTCCCCATTTCATCACCCAGTCCCATTCACTCCACTTTTTAGTGTTTCCTGATAACAATACTTAAACTTTCAGTGTTGTTCATATCAATATACCATTGAATGTGTTTTGGTTTTTTGATGCTACATTGATATTTTTGTTGTTGTTTTATTTTATCATTATGCAGTATGTAAGATGTCAGTCATACCTGTCAATGTCTCTTATTATAAAAAACATCCCTCATTTTAAAATCACGTTTACTTTACTTCCACCCAAATTTGGTGTCCTCACCTGTATTTCACCTTAATTCTGTTAATTATTTGCATGAGATATGAAGACTCACAGAACTGAGGTTATAGAAATGTTGTTCATACTAAAGGAAAGAGTTTCTTGCATGAATAACTTCTATGTATAATTTTGGGTCTGTGTCCCAGGGTAGGAACGACAATAGTATACTTTTTTTCTTTAAAATAAAAACTACGCACCACACCTCTTCCTCCAGGGCCTAAGAGCAACATTCTCAGCTGCAGAAGCAAAATCCCAAGACCACACAATACTGTCCCTTTGGCTTTCCATCTACCCATTCATCTCAATCATTCAACTTCACTGATAATTTTTTCCATTTTGACTCTGTGAACCCTTCTAGTTAACTGGGTTCTTTAACCTGTTTTATTTCACCTGATATAATCTGCTTGAAGTGTGCATTGTAGTCCTCTCACTGGAAGCCCCCCAGGGGAGACTCTCTACTCTGTTTTGAGTCCAATATAGTTACGTGTTGTAACAATGGCTCTGGGTCATATAACCGTTTATATTTGCTTGCTATTCAGAGGTTGTTACTATGCTCCAGTGGTATCCCTACTAGCTTATAAATGACGTCAGATGTCCAATGCCACAGTAACGGGCATGGTATTAAGACTTCCTGGTGACAGAGATTTTATGAAAGTTACTTGGTAAATGATGTCTAATATATGTTGTTTTGCAAATGGGTGCATGTGTACAGCAGCATTTTACTGTGCAAAAGTTATTTTGTGATGAGATGACAGATGGTTCCATCTTAAAATCTGTCATATAAAGGATCCTATGGAGTCAAGAAAAATATAATAAAATTAAACAAATATAACCCGCAAAACCGGGTGTCTCTCAATTGTCCCAACATGTGGGAACCTTTTTTTGTTTTAAATGCTGCTGCGCATTAACTCAGTCCCTTAAGGAATATTTTTTTTAATAATAAAAAAATATTGAGAAAGCTGGAGGGGTCACCAGAGGAGAGCTCGGTGCTTGCATCACCTTTTATAGATATCTTCTAACCACTTTTCATCATCTTGCTCCTCATCATCTATCGGTTCTTCAGTTTCCAGGGGAGAAGGAATAAAGAATTCTGGCTTGGGAGGTGGTTCACTGCTATGAGACTTAAGTCCGAATTTGCGCTTTAGCAGGTGAAACTGCTCTTTGACATAGTAGTAGAACTCATATTCATATCTCATGCGCTGGTAGAGGATCTGTATAGCTTCTGGAGAAGGGATGGTCTTTTTCACTGTCACAGTCAGATTGCCAAGTTTCCTATGTTCTGTAAAAGAAAAAAAAAATGGGGATCTGATCAACAGAACCAAAAATCACATTCTTCTTTAGAACTAAGGCACTGTTCTACTGTATTATTGATTTAAAAAAATGTCTCCAGCCCTTTTTGTGTAGTAATTTGTAATATTAAACTTTTAAAGAAGGACAAAGTATAGCAGACCAGACTTTCAAAATTACACTTGCACATTTGCATATGTACATTTGAACATGGCTATTCTATGCATGGACTTATCTAATGATGCTTGCATTAATCTTGTATTTTAGCCAGCATATGGCAAGCTAGGCTCCTAATTGGCCACACTTACATGAGTAAATAGGATCATACAAATGAATGAGCATACTTTAAGTGTACATAAATACATAATCACACCTAGCTTGGGAAAACTTTTCTCAAGTAGTTGGAAGGTTAAATAGCCAATATTTATTAGAGCACAATGGAACCATTGTCTCCAATGTAATATTTAATGTACTTTCTTTGTCTGCTGTAAACATTAGCTATGGGGGAAAATGTTCCCCAAAATAGCAAGGTCTAGTAATTAAAAACTGTACCAAATACTTTGTGTTTTCTTCTTGTTCTAATCTAGATAGATAGTTGGGGAATTGGTAATGAGATATAGTGCCACAAACCCATGCGTTACCTGTTTGAATCCAGCATGCTAGTACTGATCAACAGTTGTTCCCACCTGATGATTGTTTGCTTGCCTTTGTGAAATGAGTTTGGTGAGTTACAGTCTAGTGCCCAGTGGAAAGCCTTAGTAGACATGTCAAGGACTGGCTATGCATGGGGACTTCTCACCCTAATGGTGGTCCCTCCATGGTTAATTAAGGTGCATTGACTGGACTGTCTGAAGAATCTTTCCCTGTCCTGAGTCTATAGGATTCCATCCATCTGATACCTTTCACAAGTGATAAGTTCACATAAAACAACTCAACGCCTAATAAAATTGATCACTTAACAAAAGCATATAGCTGTCTTTTCTCTCCCAAAAATTGGTTTTCTTTTAATGTCGGAGAAAAACACATGCAAGAGCTAGCCAGGTCAGAAGAAGGGCATGTTTACTTTTGTGGTTTCCCAGTTTTCCACTAGATGGAAACATAAGACCAAGAGACAATATTGAGCATCCCCAACATTTTCTTCCTCTTTTGGATAGAGAAGTCACAAGTCAATGCGAGGAGGAGGGAACTGCTCAAAGTGCCATAAATACTGTAGATCAAAAGCCACTTACTATGAAGTACTAACCTTCTAACTGTGAAACCTCCCTAATGTCCACATTTTTCTTTAGCAAAAGTGGAGATGGAAATATAAAGTGGTGAGGAATTCATCTCTATAACTAATCATATTTCCTGACAGTTTTCCCAATGCAGAGCATACAATATTCATGATTTATAGTAACAGAAAGGGAAACAGCAGTACATTATGTGGGACATATAAGTTTGGATCTAAAATGAAGGCTATATGTTATAAAAAAAGATTGAGAGTTGCATTGAAAGGTTCAGGCTGGAGAGCTAAGAAAAGGGGATTCATGGATTTTGGTCCTACCACTGATACCTTGATCTCAAAATATTAGATAACATTGAAATGAAATAAGAGATGAAACAGCAAGATGAGACAGTTGTTCCACCTGACTGTCACCTCGGTCTAAAAACAGTGCTACAAGACAATGGTGACAGAGATTCTGAGTGATGGATACCCTTAGTTAGAGCAAGGACAAAGGAGGTATTGTATATCCTATACCACTTGGCAAGTTTCCTTGAAATAAAGAGAAAGGCCTGTTTATACATTCCTTTATACCACATGCATCACCACGGTCTCTCAACATCTTCATGGTGATTTATTAGAGCCCAAGATCTTCAGATTGACCTGAAAGCATTAAGTATGTCTATTCACAAATCAACAAACCCAACAGGAAGAAAAATTTGAGAATCTTATTCTTCTCTGAGTTTGTCTTCTTTGTCATTAAACTTATCTCTGTGTTATAGCAGATCTCGATTGTACCAGACTGCCATTATCTAAAAGGTCTACTGGAATATTTTGCCTTTGGTGCTAAGAAAAACTGTTGAGGCGAAACCATGTGCTCTCTCTCTCTCTCTCTCACACACACCCCCTTTTACTCTGGTAGCCTACAAAGAAGGACTTATCCTTCACAAACTTCCTGATACATACATTATTAGTTGAGGGGCACCAGTATACAACCATTTTAAAAACAACTGAACTAATTTTTATCTGTTCAGTTCTTTATACTTTGTTACCTCATCCTTTACTACTACTATTTGCATGAAAACAGGATCTTTGATCTTGGATAATTTCTCTGTTTCTGCTTCTCATTTCTTCCCTGAAGTGATTATCCTCTGTGCCTCCCAATTGCCAGTAAGAAATCCAAATATTCCACACAACTTTAGTCACTAACTGTCACAACAGAGGGGCCTTGATATTTCTGTTGGAGTATCCACTTTACTGTGCCTGCAATTACCACTACAGGCTTGGACAGATCCAAGAGGACACAGCAGTGGAGTATGGAGAAGAGAGATCTTATGGCACTGGAGGGGCTAGTTAAATTAAATTGCCCACTAGGGAAGATTTATTGGTAGCTGCCTCTTCTTGGGCAAAGAAGTAACAAAACACAACACACCAGCATGTTGAGGCAAGACTACCATGGACAGCTCAACACCATGGTTTAATATAACTAAAAAGCTACTTTTGGTCTATACAGTATTCCACCCAAAGGAAGCCATTGTAGTTTACAAAGAAAGGTTCGAATCCTGCATAGCACCAACATGTGCATAATTTTGCTCAAGTGAGCTGTCCCACTGAAGTCTGTGGAGCTGTTAATGTGAACAAAGCTATGCATATGCTTAAGTGCTTCACAGAATCAGGGCCCATATATACACGTTTGAATAATTATTTACATATATGTTTACAGGATAGATGAATAGCTCCAAAGGCAGAGTTTCTAGGAGGAACAGTGAAACAACTCAGTGGACTCCAACAGCTACATATTCACCCAACAGGAATGATCTACAATGATTTTTAGGGAACACAGTAATATTTTTAACCAGCTATAAAAGCCACAAGATATTTATTTTAGGAAAAAATATTAAGTCTACCTAGAGGGCCCAATAACAGTGTTCATTACGTAAAGGTATGCACAAAGCAAAACAGAATAAATAAAACGATGCCTGTGAAAATGCAGATGACTGGAAGCAGAGAACAACAGCTATGTGAGTGCAAGTCTTGGATAATAACCTGGATTGTAGCTGTAAAGTGTTTCTTACTTAAAAGCAGAAAGAGCCTTCAAAGCCAAAGCTATGTTTATTTTTGTAATATTCTAGTTAGATTGCAAATGTTCAGGGCAAGGACCTTGTCCTCATATTTGTCTGCACAGTGTCTAGCATGTATTTGGTGGTAGATTAAAAAAAAGTTTAAGGGAAATATTTCCCCCTTACTCCTGCTTAGCAATTACTGAGCCTGCTGTTCCTCTCCAGTTCTGTGAGACCAGAGGAAAGCATAATTTGGTGTGGGGTGGGGGAGGGGGACGAGAGGAAGGAAAAGAAAGGGAGATCTGTGCCTTCATTGCATGCTCCCTTGTGTGACCATTTGACTTGGCGCTCCTCCAAAACAGGACACGGATTAGAGGCAGGAGGAGGGATGTGGGGGCACTGAGCAAGAACTGGAAACAGCTATTCTCTGTACATGGTCTCTCTGGGACCCCACTGGGAAATCCCTACTTCTAGCAGCACTAATTCCCCTTTGTGGCTGCTAACTCCAGTAGAGAGAGGGGCTTGTGTTCAGTCACAAGGAATTCTGCCAATGGCAGCAATGCTAAAAGAGCTGGGCTGCTACTGGGGAGGAGAGGCCTGCAGGCAGCATAGAGGATTCTTAGCTGTGTGCAGTTGTCCTTTGCTTACCACACAGATCCTTGAGTTACAGCATGCCTCCCCCTCTTTCTGCTTTGAGAAGCTGCAAACACATACCGCCCTTCCCCTTTGCCCTTGCAGACGAGGAGGAGGAGGAGGAAACTTCATGAGGCTTTTCTTGCAGTCTCCAGATGTGATTTTCCTCTCCAGTGAGTTCTTCTGTGGGAGGGCAACCTCAAGCCCATTGTGGTTATTTTTGATTGTTCAGGAGCATTTTAGATTTCTTGGCTTTTGTCAGTTTGCCTCACAGTAACTGCTGTTAATTAGTAATAACAAACTGCCTGTAAAAATACAAAAGTATATCTGCTGTTTGGGAAAAAGTGCAGGCCAGGGTTATGATCAAAATGGGCGTGCCTTCCTGGCTTTGACCTAAGCTAAGTTTTGATAATGCAACTGACCTTCACCTTGTTTTGCACTTAAATTTTAGTTAGACTAGTTTATAATCTTCAACTCTCTTAAAAAGCCCTTTAATACAAATAAAAAGAAAATTACAGAACCACTCCTTGAAGTCATCCTTACCACCTCCCCTTAATCCATCAAACAAGCATAATAGAAAACTTATGCAGATCTGGCTGCATGCCAAAGTAAACAATCTGGAAATGCGATGTAAATCCAGCTGCTCCACCAGAGGACAGGGTACCACCCCCCCCCCCCCCCCCCGCCTTTTATGACCTTTGAGACAATTCACCATATGGAGATCAACAAACTACACCATTTACTTTCTAGGGTTATTTTTTTTTTCTGTGTTTGTTTTGGCATTCCTTTAATGTACTAAAAAGAATATACTGTACAGTGACCCAAACCTCTTGCAGTAGTCACAGCCTGTCTTGCATTAACACAACCAAGGGCTTGTCTATACTTACCGTGCTGGGTCGGCGGCAGGCAATCGAACTTCTGGGTTCGATTTATCGCGTCTTGTCTGGACGCGATAAATCGAACCCAGAAGTGCTCGCCGTTGACTCCGGTAATCCTGCTTGGCGCGAGGAGTACGCGGAGTCGACGGGGGAGCCTACCGGCCACGTCTGGACTGCGGTAAGTTCGAACTAAGGTACGTCAACTTCACCTTCGTTATTC